CTGAAAATAACTCCAGAATCTAAAAATAAGCTTTTTTTAAATGTACATAATGAAACATGGAAAATGTTTGTGTTTAGGAAAGGGAAATAAACTTTTGACCTCATATCATGACATGGAAATTGGCGACAGTTTGTAATTTGTAAGTTAGCCTTTGATCTGATATCATTTCATGGAAATTGGCGACAGTTTGGGACGTTAAGAAAGGAGCATCAACCTTTGATCTGATATCACTACATGGAAATTGGCGACATAATGTGCTCAGTTATGAAAATATCACATGGAAATTGGCGAAAAAATGTTCTCCTTGAAAACTATTTACAGTAATGTCGTAAAATATCCCATGGGAATTTGTGACAAAATGTGCTCCTTAAAAATAAGAAAATTGGCTACACATTTGATTGTTCACCCGGACATAAGCACGCAAACAAAGTGATATCTAAAATTGTTTAGTGCGGCTGTACTATCTATGGACATTTGCAACATATATTAAATCAAGATGGCTCGGACGATTCAATATTGCTACATTAGTCACGTGGACAATGTTCTCAGAACGGTGCATGATGTCTTTAGGATCCTTCTCCCTGGACGACTCGAACTATTGCAATTATTTTGGTCACAGTCCCAATTAAATGCGCAGACTCGTATGTGGCTATATTATTTGAATTATAAATTATTCATAGTAACAGATACCTTTCTGATAACAGAAAACATTCCTGTTTTAAAATTGAATGACAAGCTATATGTAGTTTAAGTTTCATATCGATACATGGAACAAAACCTGCATAAATATGTTTTAAACATAGGAAGGGTTGTTATGACGTTGTGATTTCGGAAGAGATTTCATTAGAATAGGTTGTCTTTAAATAGATTTTTAGTATTAAAGCGACTATTCACTTTTTCAAGTGATTTAAAGTTTTATTTAGAAAATGTTGATTTTAAGGAATATTTAAAATGTAAGTGATGAAATGTATACGTAAAAATAAATTTATTTATGTGCATAAGCATAAGTGGAACAATGTTTTTGTTTCTGCTAAATACTTGTAAGCTTCAGTAAAACAAAAAATGTTTAAATATCTGTATCAGGTATATTCATTTCTTAATTTTATATTTTTATGATATTATCGTTTGTATTTAAATCAGTTAAATTAAGAGACAAATGATTTTTACTAAAACTGGGCAAGTACCTTTAAATATTTTTTTTTATCTTTTGGGCGTGAATAACACAAAAACTTGTTTCGATGCAAGATTAGAAAAAGGACAACACTATTTTAACATTTGTCTTAAACTGGGATATACATGTACATGTATACATTTATATAATTTACGTTTTTTTGTTTAAGAACTTGTATACAATTATACGTTCTTATTTTTGTTTTTGTACCTGGTATAATGAATGTCTTGGCTAATTTTTTAAACACACTTGAATTTCAATTAAATTCTATTTTCAAATGAGCCGACATCAATCTCGGAATCAGCCGTAGTATTACATAGAAATATATACTCACGAATTTTACATGAACTATTCTTAATTCTGTGAAATGTTCCCTGGTGTTTCTGCGTTTATTTCTGTTAATTAGATAGATGGATTCTGTATTGACCATCTTACTCCCGAGGGTGACCTTCTCAGGACTGTCAAACTTTTTTTAAGAGAAACGAACTGTTAAGTAACGACTACAATAAAATTAGTTGACATTAATAGAAAATAGGGTTGTGATAACTTGAAGAACAAAGTCTGTTTCAAAACATGTATTCTAGTCGATGAACTTTGTATTGACTAAGTATCCAGATTATTTAAATGATACAGAAAATGTAATTTTATTGATATTTATCCAAAAGATAACGAACGCCTAAAGGAAAGGATTTTTGTTTTGAATGCGTTTTTGTTTAATATTGTATGGTTTTAAATTTAGATGCCCAGTATTTCGTTAACAAAGACAATTATGTTGAATGGGCAAATCATTCAAATAACAAAGCATGTAATATTAACCAATATTGTTTCATACAGTTATGTAGGTATACAATTTGTTTATCAAATGAATGGCCTTTGGCAATCAAATAAAGGACAAAACACTCAATAGTAACATACATGACATACAGGCTTGCCAAATTAAGCAAATCGAAGCTATTGAGTTAGTTTTCATCGGGTTAAATCAAATATCATAATGCGCTGAGTATAAGGGGCAATAACTCTAGTGTAAAAAATGAATAATTACATTCATGTATTGTTGTGTCGGTTTTACATCAGCAAAATCTAAAGACTAGTAGCTTAAATCATAGGCTTCAAACAATTATTTAATCGAATTTGAAAAGCAAGAACAACTTTTTATCAGAAACTTAAATGTTAGTGTTAAAATGTGTTACAATTATGACATTTTTAGTTTGAAAATATAATGTTTTGTATTTTGTGATAGGGCTTTTAGATATTGTAAGTTGCTAGAAAATTGAAGTTCGTGTTAATCAATTATCTCAATGTACGGGAGGTAAATGTGTATGGATTTGATTCCAATTATACTCACTGCAGACATGATCTCCCTTGCAATTAAACTTGATAGAAGGGAGACTACTGTTGTCAGAAATTTGTTTATTTCATGTTCGAACGGTTAGCTCCCTTGTATTTAGTAACTTCACTGTAAGGGTGGACAACTCTGTATACGAGTTTGAGTTTTTATCTGTTAGATTGTAAATCGTTTCCACATGTACATATTTAAATGTTGCATTATATAATTATATATTAGATTTAACAAATTACTAGGAATAAATTATACATGTTAATAAATAATTTTGTTCTTAGCATTGTAGCGATATGTGAGAGTAGATTTTATACAAATGAGATTACCTACTTACGGGTTGTATGGACATGATGGTTCATGAATAACAGTAAAAATACTACTTTAAAGTGTTTGTGATCTTTCTTTCTTTTTTACCCATTCACACCACATTTATTATCTCAGTGTACATTAAAGTAATGATTAAGACTAGCCTTTAATCCACAAAAGCAAGTCAAAGCGCCAAATTCTCGAGAAGAACCTCAATTCTTGGAAACTTGATATTTCTGGTTTTATGAGTCTATAAAAATATATAAATGACGACCTAGTTCGAAAACTTGGACCCAAGTTTAAATATATATACAAATTCAGAGCTGAAGACGAATATATCAAAGTTGAAAGAGGGGTACCAGTTGATGTTTTCAATGAAAAATCAAGCAGTGTTGCTGTCTTCAGTAAGACATGCGTTAAATGTAAGCTTATTTAAATAAATGTCGTTTCCATTGATATAAAAGGTAACATCTCAGAAGATAGAATAATGGTCAATGTGCAGGATGCATCTCCTCCCAGAATTACGGCCTCTCCTCCTCAAATGCTAAGCAAGAATATAGCCGTCGCATAGTACATTTCTAAAGTATATGCATATAAGTATGTGCCTTATCTTTGATCCCTTAAAGAAATATAATCTAAAATCAAACATCCACTCAAGTCATAAAATTTCATTTTGGTCGATGACTTTTTTCTTACGACACATAGTTCACAAATGAATTTTAAATATGCAAAATATACTAGGATTTCTAAACTCGAAGGAGAAGACATTTGAAATTGATGAAATCTAGGGGACTTTTCTACGGAAAATAATTAAAGAAGCTCAGAAAATGTAATAACTTTAACACAACCATGGAAATAAAGTAAAATTAAGTGAAATATTCTTACAGTTATCGCACAAATAACTGTAGCGGTCCATACTGTTATCATGGAAATAAAGTAAAATTATGTGAAATATTCTTACAGTTATCGCACAAATAACTCTACCGGTCCATACTGTTATCATGGAAATAAAGTAAAATTATGTGAAATATTCTTACAGTTATCGCACAAATAACTGTAGCGGTCCATACTGTTATCATGGAAATAAAGTAAAATTATGTGAAATATTCTTACAGTTATCGCACAAATAACTGTAGCGGTCCATACTGTTATCATGGAAATAAAGTAAAATTATGTGAAATATTCTTACAGTTATCGCACAAATAACTGTAGCGGTCCATACTGTTATCATGGAAATAAAGTAAAATTATGTGAAATATTCTTACAGTTATCGCACAAATAACTCTACCGGTCGATACTGTAATAAACAGTTCAGAATTAACTCCACAAAGTGGCGGACCTTTCTGCGATAAATATTTGAAGATTCGGAAATCTGGAGATCTGTTATATCAGTTATATGTAATGGTATAATCTAGAAAAAGAAATCGAGAGGACATTCTACTGTAAAAATACTTGCAAAAATGATATTTGAAAAATAGAAACTGGTAAAAGTTTCTCATAAACGGAACTTTAGTTTAGTTTTAACATATTTAAATGGTGAAAAAAAAAAATTTTGGAGTTTATTTGTGATATTAAAAGCACAAAAATGCATCGAAGTTGAAGATCTGAAAACAATAGATACTCTTAATTGTAAACAAGACTTCTTTGCTGTTCTTGGTAATCAATGCGAACAGTTCAAGCCTTTTTCAAGAGATGTAGTTAAAGTAAATGCAAAGGTCAACCGAAACGGAGCATAGAAAATAGCCGATGGGCATGATTCCTACAAAATAAACGCTCGTTTGCAATATATAATATATCAAAACCTATCGTTAGGAATGCTATTTCCTTTTCAAAACCTAAGAGGAATCCTGGTTGCTTTGACGTAAAACATCATAGGATCTAAAAAATGGTCGGCAGGGATGATTCCTATCTAAAACATGTTTCCAGTTCAGACGTCACCGGGAGGGGTTAAAAATTAATAAAATTCCTTGTTTCTTAATAAAGTTTTATTATAAAGTATCATTAGATGTCATACATCCAAAGTATTTTCTAAGATTTTACTAATGATTCATGCTCAAATCGCACAACACAGTAGATTATACTACGGGAAAAAAATTCTATTCAAATTTTAAATATTCAAATATATCGTCTGAGCAAAGCCTCAAATATAACTAAAAAGAGTTGAAACGTTAATTCATCACAATAGGAAATAAGACATATACGCCATGTTTAAGGAAGTTTTTGGAATATTTTCACCAACAATTGTCATAAATACAGCCATCGCCAAGAAAACGGAAACGGCATAAGACAAACGCTCCCCGCTTTCTAATGGAATAAAGAAAACAAGACCGCTCAGGAAGCTGGTGAAAATAATAGGAAGAACAACATTTACTAAAAAGTAGTGCGGTCTCCTTTTAAGTTTCATGTTTATTTTATATTCTCACATACCAAAAGAGGAGTACTCATATAAAACTTGAGACTCCTCTAAAATCCATGCGCCATTTTCAGTGTAATATATAAGACTTATTGTTTCGTCCCCGCCGATTAACAGCACTTCTCCTTTATAGTAACCCCCTGGAATAAACAGCATATTGCAGTACTGTGTATCGAACGGGAAATATCTGATATCTATGCCACACCTGGAAGTTACGATATCAGGGATTGTCCACTCAATACTTCCGTCATAGAAGCATTTAACGACCATCCAATTTTGATTGTCACCAATCGGACTATTTCTGTCAACAGGGCTAGTCAGTAGCAGACTTGGCTTCCAAATTTTGGTTACCGGTATATGCACGTACTCCGTACCGTTATGATCCAGTGGGTCCCATGTTAGCCGATAATCTTCCCAGAGTAGGTCTAACACTAAAACAGATGTTAATTGTTCAGATACCTCTTTGAACTCTGTGATGTGAAACATATATATCGTGGTGATATTAACCTGTATAATAAAAATAATACAGAGCAATCAAATCAGTATTTTAACAAAGAGATCAGAAGAAACATGTACAAATAAAGCTTCACATATACCGAAAAAAGTGTCGTTCACCTATTTAAGTAATGTTCTTAGTTTTTTAACTGTTTCAAAATTCTATTTTAGAAGTAATGTGAAGAATATTTATATTGAACCCGGTTGAGAAGCAGACACCCCAACCACTAGGTCATAGCCCCACTTGGTTCCTTTAATTAAAAATAGATTTTAAATTATCATTTGAATTAAATTCAGAGAAAGATCAATGAATTTTCTTTGATATACTTCAATTTCTAATTGCTTTGTTACGTTATTGGCTCTATCTTACTTTAAACATAAGCTTTTAGTACGCAAACATTTTTTGAACTTGAAATTAGTCGGTGTTTGATGAGTCAACACCGTGACATTTGGAAAATTGCCTCTTTACTTGTTCATTGGATTGTTGTTGTTGTTTTTTTTACTTATTCATTCCCTAAGATAAAAGTTTTTTCCCTTATATTTCAAAACCAATTATTGAGAAAAACTATTTTTTTACAAAGCAGTTCACAAAAGTAATCAGAAAAATACATGAATAAAAATAAAAATATTTCATTAATTTAGACAATAAACACATAAACAAATAAAAACAAAAGCCACATATACAATATCTCATTTTAATCCAAAATTCAATATTTCTTGAAAAATAGAATGTCTTACAATATAGTATTAATTAATTCAAATCCAACCAAAGATATTAATGATTTGTAAAAGAAATCATATGCGGTATAAGCTCAAAGGTGTTTAGCACCAAAACAATAAATTCTTTATCTAAACCTATATTATATTTTTTTACCCAAATCCAGTAAATCAAGTAATGCTTTAACCAAACCATATACCCTTATAAATTCTTTATCCACACTTCAGTTTATTCATTATAAATACTTAAACCAAACGTTGTTCATTCATAAAATCTTTAAATGAACCCAGTGTACAACCAGACAAGATACTTTCATGAAGAAAAACTTTCTCAAAATCTCTAAATCAAACTCAATATCCTTATTGTAAACAAACAAATAAAACACAACAAATATTTCAAAAAGATCTCACACTTTAACCCAATATCCTCATATAACCTCAAAGTCAACTCAATACAATGTATCTTCATGTGTACCCAGTTGTTAATATTAAAAACAATGAAGGTGTCGAATTATCGTCAAATATCAAAAGGGAGGGCTAATATAATTAAGTTGTCAAATAATCATACACTTACCTCTACAGGTAATGACTGATTGAATGCCGGTCTGATATCTGAATTATAGCCTGACAATATTGTATCCAAAATATCTTGAGTGTCCTTCAATATCTGACCTTGACCTTTGGATAAACCTGTTGCCAATAAGAACGCGCCTAATGTCAAATATATTGCCATTTTTTTCGATTAATTTTATCTTACAATATCTTTGTAATTTTATTTATTTTTTATTTATATATGTGAATACATATAGCTTTATGTACGAACTCTATTTCGTAAATGAACAACCAGATGATCGCCTACCCACGGTTGATAAACATAACATGTATTCAATATCATGTGATAAATGCTAATGATACGGCCGTGGGTATCCGACGATGACGCATAAGTTAAAAAAAAATAGTAGCGGCAAATGTTTACAAAATCACAATAACAAACTCTGTGCTTATAATTAATAATTTATAAGATGCTTGACAATTTAACAGTCACGACTCAAAAAGCAGTTTCAAAACCCTTGCATTTTGCTGAATGTGCACACAAATAACTTATTCAACTAAATCCGGTTTCGCCAAAAATATAATGCGTATGGTAACGTAACTGGATTCAAATGATTATGAATTCAAATCAGCATTAGGTTACTGTGTAAATGACGATTCGCAATAAATATTTATGAACTTAACCATAGAAATAATTGTCCTATATGTGAAGAATCTGATTACAACGGGACTGCAGGTTGCTGCGTATTTTTTATTTATGTAACCACAGACATTTGGGGTGTGGAGCTCAAAACGCCTTTTATCCAAATAAAAATTATTTTTGTCAACCCCAGCACATGTACTTTTCATATACAATTGTATATGAAAAAAACTTAATTTAAAAATATATATATTATTTCAACGTCTATAATGATATATAAGATAAAAATACTGGAAAGTGCCAGCATTTGTCCAAGCCCCCTAGCACCGGTTTAAGCAGTTTCAACATTGGAATGCTGAAAACTTTGAAGTTAGAATTAGTGGCGGATACAGAACAAGGTTGTGTGAGGGGGCTGACTTGAAGATGGGAGGGTTTGACAAAAACAATGCGACAGGCGAAAAATGAAGATTGAGCCAGCAAAAATGTAACAGACGTCTCTGATATCTCATCTTAAAGCAATTTATTTCTTTTATATTGTTTATACTATTATCAGAGTTTTAGTTGTATCAATATTGGTGATATTGAAATAGATAAAAACTGTATGTGAACGGGGTCTCACCAATATACTGCAAAGTTTGAAATCATTTTTATTAACAGTCAATTTACTTGACTGATAAATAAGTAACCGAATTACCAAAGTAAATGTGTTAACTAAAATACTGTTTTTTTATTCTAAAAAAGAATAAAACACTAATACTTAACAAGCATTTTATTTAATTAATGGATCTATTTCAGATATATAAAAGGTAATTTCAATTAAATTTATTCAAGGCGGCATAGAATACAAAATATTATTAAAACAAATGACTTATCATTTCATCTCAGTAAAAATCTTAGTACAACCGATTATTGAAAGGGAATTCCCTCAACTGTTATCTTATTATAAAACTTGCAACCTTTTTAATTCCTTTCAATCACAATTTTCAATTCCTTAATTTATTATAGGACTTCCACGTAGAAAGTGGAAAAACCAGAGATAATAAGCATCGCTGTACCATCTCTCGAACAATAATTTCACTTAATTGTAATTATTTTTAGGATGTTAAGTGTCTTTAAACTTAGTAAAGTTCTTGATTGTAGAGACATGTATTGTGTCCGTTTTGACCTACTTAAAATTTGTCAACATGACCTTCAAAATGGCTGCCGTGAACTCATTGGGGTGCTTGATTAGTAGAACAAAGCCGACCCCTTGCCACCAATTATCGAACCAAGTTATTTATAGTGTACAAATAACTTGAAGAAAGAGGAGATCATTTAGATTGGAACTATACTGTAAGCATTAATTAAATTTTCTACTGTAACATAGAACAAAACAAACAAATTTTCATTTATTTTCATGTCTTGTCACATTCCTGGAGTATTCATCTGACTTTTTAAATACAACAGCTTCACAAATCACAATCAGCTTTACTTATATCAACCAAAATTTGATTATTCCTTTTCAACATTGATAATGGTATCAATTGCATATTGAGAACAGTAGAAAAAATATATTTAGTGGTGTTCAACTTGATTTATCTTGTTCGATTAAGGTCTTACAACCCTAATGGGCACTATAAGGAACTAAAAAATTGAAATCATAAGTCAGATATATACCTTAAAGTACACTTGTATGCAAAATTTAAACAAAGTTTACCGTACGGAAATCAAGTTATGGCCACTTTTATGAACTCAAGCTAGGATGTTATGAGGGCCCTTTTTTAGAAATGAGGAACCTTTAAATAATCTGCAATAACATTCTAATGAAAAATGTTTTCCCATTAATTTTTGGTAAGAAACAAAATGTGCCATTCAGCTAACAATCCACATATTAAGCAAAATTATGGTTTCTACGTAAAATTTATGAAATCTGTGTTAAAATGTTACCCTACCCCACCCATTTTTACCATGTGTCTGACCATTTTCCTACTTAATTTAAAAAATCCTTAAAATTTACCCGAATGAGTGCCTGTTTATATTGGTTGATCTTGTAAAATATCAAATACTTTTACCATCAAGTTTTGATTTATTTACACTTTGAAAATATCAAGTACCATATTTATTACTAGATTTAGCAGAATTTAGCCAATAAATACCTATATAAATTAAAAAATTAAAATTAAACACTTTTTTCTTTCCAAATGGGACATGAGAGATACATAAATAATGTTAAAAGAAAAAAAGAAAGAAAAAAAAGTTGACCCTTCTGGGGATTGAACCCACGGCCCTCATTTTCAATGTAGTTAACAGTAGTTCTAGCCTATTTGAATACTCTTTAAAGCGGAGGTAATGCATTAGGGTGGTAATACCTTAAATATTTGATTGAACAAAACAATAAATCAAGAAACTAGGTCAACCTTGACAGTTCATAAAACAAATCAAAAATACAGTAAAATTACGCTATTTTCTTGAAAGACGGGTTCATAAAGTATTCTTATTATTCTGACTTATTCCACAAATCTATATTAGTAAAGTGGTAACTTTACAAATTAAAATACACAATTTCAAAAATGAAAGTAGGCTGTCATACTTTCGTCTACTATGAAGCTGTAAATATGGAACTTTGCCAAAACAAACAACTGTAAGTACTTGTCACTTTATTAAACTATCTCCTGCTGCACAACATAAATTTGATTTGTCAAATATAAAATTTATCACTTTGGTCGAGAGATAGTGCCGTTCGAGAGATGGTAAACATTGTACTGCGTATTACACCCATCGATACTATAAGTAGATCTAACTCTTATTTTCAATAAAAAATTGGAAAGTAAAAGCAAAATAAAATTTGCCGTTTAAATATTTATTGACAAGTCATTTAAGCAGTTGATAGATTTCTACCAGGTGACCAGCCCGCTAAGCTCAATCGGTGAGAGCGTGATACTTATAATCTCAACATTGTTGGTTCAATTCCCGAGCTGGCCACCTAAAATTACTTATCAGTCTTTCGGGTGGTATTTAAAAGTCCCGTGTATGACTGCTTAAACACTTGGCACGTTAAAGAACCAAGATAATCTTTTGGTATTGGGTCCTTTTGTATCATTCTGTATCTGTGTCCTCTAAAATGTAAAATGACTAATACTCTTTCGGAGGACTAGCCAAACGGGCAACCGGTGGCAAGTATAAATAAATTCAAATACAAACACACAGGCAGGTGATCAACATCCTGATGACAGCATTAAATGTTTTTATAAGGGTGTTCACTGTGACCAATTTTGCATGAAACTGGCACGAATATATCCCAGCTCATGAACGTATCTTTTGGCTAAGCTAGGTGGGTGCCGCCACTGAGTTACGTCATTCGGCGATGATCATGGAACCTTCAATGTTGCACTTTAGCTGCATTTCATGAAAAGCTGCGTAACCGCCAAGGTAAAATTAAACTAGAAACTTTGGGCGGTATTAAAGAGAATGGAAAATTGATTGTTGGTCAGAGATTATAAACCCTGCATATAAGAAGCCTATAGTATACGTATTGCGTCTAGATCTGTTTTTTAGACTACGGCCTGGCATAACATGTTTTCATGGGCATTATTGCCGGGGATGTATATGGAAGAGACATAAACGATTGTACACCGAGTTGGAATAGGTATAAGAACATTTTTTTATGCTTTTGCCTGGGCTATGCTCACGTGCTTATATCATATGACATGAATATAACTTTAAGCCAAATGTCACCCATTTATATACCATAATAATTATGTCTGCTAATTATATGCCATTAAATGTTTGCCATTTATATTCTATGAAATGCCTGTCATTTTATATATGTCTGACATTTGCATAGCCACTATAAAGCGTGTCGGAAAAGTCCGAGATACCATAAAATAGTACCAGCACGTTTATATGATATTCAAAGATGGCCGATCTTCACCTATGCCTCTCATCTCCTGCATTGTCCTTTTGAAATGATAAAATAAGTTGTCCAATATGAAGCACATTTTATTTACCCCCTCTTGTACGGTGGTGATATTTTAATTTGAGGGTTTAATGTATTAAAATAACGTTGTGACATGATATCACAAATATTTGGACAAAAAATCTTCGGCAATTTGATATTTACAAACAAATGCATAATAATACAGTCAACATTATTTGATGATTTAAAAAATAAGATAACTATGGTACAGAACATAACTACTTTACATAAAAGCCGTGCTAAATAAAAAATGCTTCGGAAACAATTATCCCAATAAAATTACATGAAACTTGCAACTTCTGTTTGATTGAGTCTGCACATGAAAAGTACAATCTGTCGATGAAATTTAAATTTAACGCACGTGTACCTAAAATGAAATAAATATATCAATTGAAATCATCGGAATTATTAATATTGAATTGTTTACACCTGATGTTAGCGATGTTAAAGCTGTCTGTCATAGCATACATTAACTACATTTTTGTTTGCATACTTTTTCTCAGCATAGTGTTTTATTTGAAAGTCTTTTTTATGAAGAGCTACTTCGATGCTAGAACGTAGGTCCATCCATCATATGTAACCGATAAATTCTTGTTTCATTCTTTAATAACTTTGCATGGGTGTGTTAATCTTCTATGTGAAACATAAGATTGTGTTACTAACATGATATTTTGAATTTCTGCATTTTATTAATTCCATGACAGTTATTTGCAACAGCAATGAATGATTTATCACGTGAGACACATACTTTATATGGATAGTCCATATCTAATTTGTACGATGATAACATCTGACCTGTTTCAGATATCTGTACAATGGTTTTTGTTTTACAACAACACACCAGGATAGTGTCAGAGGGACCAACTGCTGCACCACATGGTTCCTGTATCTGATCATCCTTCACTACGACTCTCGTGTCTGTCTTGATATCATATATGTAAACAGTATGATCGTATCTATCTGTTATCACCACTTTATCACTGCTCTTTATGTAAGTACTAGCGCTACTGTCTATAGTATATGTCTTGTTTGGGAAGTTAACACCAAAATCATACTCCTTACCTGTCAATGTTACAATACGAACAGGTCTTGGTTCATCATAAGTCCCTACTACAAACTGTTTATCATCTTTCAAACATATAGAGTAATATTTCGTTTTCACTTTACATGTCTTACTAGACCTTATTTCATTACATTTACTAACATGTAAAAATTCTATTTTGTATTGTTCACCGCGTGTAATCGCTACTTCCTCCTCAGATACTACAACAGCAGATAATGGGTAGTAAGGTAGAGCACATGATCCTACTTTTTCAAGCTTCTCATTGTAAACTAAACATTTCTTGTTTTGGTTATCCACAGCCACCAGTCTACCATCAGGTAGAAAATCTATGCTTGTATATAACGGATTTTTGATCTCATATCCCGTCTTCTTCAAAATAATAGTAGAAACTGGTGTTAAGTTCATCGCCATGTTAACAGAATTAACATCTCCCAGTCGAGTTGTCTTAAAAAGTAATTGTCCTGGAACATATTCAGAGTTTGGTAATGGTGGCAGTTTTAAAGTTTCGTCAAAATGAAAAGAAATTTTCAGTGTCTCTAATTTCTTATATTCCTCCTTGATGTTTCTACAGAGAGAATTGACTTTACTCTCCATTTTATGTTCTGCAATATACTTCTGTACTGAAGTTCCATTTTTGAAAATACTTTCAATCGTCTCTAAGCTCGATGTAACATCAGTCAAATGTTTCTCGTTAAGTGTTTGTTTTTTGGACAAATTTTCTAATGTTTCTCTCAGAAGAATTTCAGCTCTCTGGGCGACGGAATCTTCTAAATCGTCAAATATTCTCATTACTTCGTCTCGTATTTGTCTTATCTCTACTTGTATTTCTTTTATATCTTCAGCAAGTTGATCTTTTGAAGAGCGAATATGTCTCGCAACGCTCTCGGCGGCTTCTTTAGCTTCCTTCAATTCGTCCCCTAAGGTAGAAATTGGTGAGGTTATTTTTCCGGCTATCTTCTCAATTTCTACAACACTGTGACATTTTCGGTGATTAACAATAGCACAAGTACTGCAGCAAAGCTTCTTTTCATCCTCACAAAAAAATTCTAAAGAATGTTGATGTTGATCACATATATCTAAGGCCTTCATTTTAAACGAAATACTTGCAACATTAGCTTCTTTCACGCTCACCAATTTATGATTTTTCAAGATGGCGAGCACGTTGTGTACATTTGAACAATCATTACATTGGAATTCATTACAAGTCGAACAAAACTTGTCAGCTACAGTTTGCTTATCCTTACTTAAACATGGTTGACATACATGTTTCTTCAAACGACCAGGAAATTTATCATCCTCTCGTATTTTACTTCCACTTTCCGCCATATTGTGTAACGATTATAGTGTCCCTATTTTAGAAATTTTTATATATACATGTACGTACATTTAAATCTCGAGGTCAATATTCAGCGACTTCACAAACTTAGATAATTAAACGCCGCCTTTCCTTGTTGATCTTGTTTATCAATATATGAGATATTTCAATTAAACAAGTCCGGGTTTTATCAATATATGAGATATTTCAATTAAACAAGTCCGGGTTTTAAACTGGTTTAACTAAATTAAATGTTCATGTTAGCCATAATATTGTTCCGATCCAAACGTTATCTGTTGGATGTTTACATTTCGTTGCTAAAAACAGTAGATCAACTTGTAACGCGGAAGTTAAATTTCAATAATGTTTCAATAATTTGAGTTATTAGTCGAACACGATATGTTTACATTAGTCAGTCGTACCATCATGATATGGGTTGTGTACGATGTCCTATTTCGTCCACAAAATGTCGCTAGTAAACACGAGATAATTATCGCATGACAGACTTTTGAAAATTTAATACTTGCGAAATTTAGTCTAAATTTTGCCCTTAAGAGGCGATAATCATCGCGTGTTTAAATTTCGTTAGTCTCTTATGCGATATTTATAGTCCAGTCAATTTGTAAAAAAAATACTTCAGAAAATGGGAAAAGCACCAAATTTGGTACAAATGAGCTTTGATGTATATAAGAAAAATTGAGCATGGGACCCATTTTTTAAAATCCAATATGGCGGGAAAAATCCAAAATGGCCGCCATACGTGTTAAAAATTTTACAAACGCTTGTTTTAACTAAGAGAACTTGATATATAGCTGCATATTAGGGTATTGTAAGCAGAAAAATAGTTTTTATTAGTATTAAACATTGCTTTGTCTTTTTAAAGCTATTACACTTAACATATTTTATTATTTCTGTTTGTCATTAGTTTTCACGACCCTTGAAATCAGACGAAATAAGATATTGTAGAGGTCTGTCATTGCTGTCTTCTAAAGATGTTAAGACATCATTTTTACAACATTCCTTTTTGTTTACAATGTTAATTTATCACAAGGAAATACGTATTAAACAGATTAAACAAAAGTATTCAAAAAATCCAGCATAACTCAAGCAAACGGAAATTAAATTGTTTGTTTGTTTGTTTGTTTCATTTTACGCCTTTTCCAAATTAAATATCTGCCCGTCAAGTCAGGTGTATGTCTTGCAATTTTATCTTGTTGATCGCTGTGAAAGAAGGTGTGAATAACAGAATTATAAGCTAACATTTGTCAAATTTTAACAGTCATTTTGTATTTGAATTGTCATATCATAAAAATATGAATCTTTATATAAGTGCATTTTTTAGAAAATGTGAAAGAAAAAACGAAAGCCTGGCAGACATATATATTGTACATTTTGTCAAAGCAGAGATGTAGATGTTGTCTATGTCTCTGGTCAAAGTATGCGTTACAGAAAATAAATTAATTCTAAACTATCCCTATTCTTCATATTAAAGTACATGACAGTGCATTTGTTGTATAAAAATGGATTGATAATTTTGTAGAAATTTGCAGTTTACAGACTCAAATTTTGACACATCTTTGATGAAATAACTGCTTTTAAACACTACACATTGGTTTTCGATTGATTAAATGCTAACTTGACACCAAATTTCAAGACTAATCTAGTTAGAAGTTACACTAACTCATTATTGTTAAAAAACATCAACCTTTCTTTACCTTCGGGATGTATCAAAAATTGATATAATACCCATCTTCCTTCTTTAATACCACCACCACCCTTAATTATATGTCAAATTCCATTTTGGTGCCCCTAGGGGTGCCCTGTGTCACAAAATATAATATCTAGTTGCTGGGTTTCATGACTTTTGGCCTCCGTTTGCAATCATGTTTTCTTATATTTTAAACAAAATTCCAAAAGGCATGTTCTTACAAGTTTTTATTTTAGACATTACAAAGTCAACAGCCCTTTATATGAAGACTCGGTATTTCCGCGCTATAATCAAATCAAGGAAAACAATGGACAACCGTGCTTGATAATTTGCCATATCTTGGCACTGTTTTTCTTCTGAGAGCCTCAAATGTTTGTAAGATCAAGATACGTCACCAAGTCTAAGGTTTAGAACGAATGGGACATTGAAGATGATATAAGTACGCCTTGCTGCCCATAAAACATCAGATACCTTGGGTATTTCTCTCTTAATTCTGACAAAATTTGCAAAAGTTGAATTTCGAGCTGGAGTTGAATTTCGAGCTAGCTCGAAGATCGAAATTCAAAGTAAGCTTAAGGCGAATTTCGACCTGGAGTTGAATTTCGAGCCAGCTCGAAGATCGAAATTCAAAATTTGCAAAAGTTGAATTTCGAGCTGGAGTTGAATTTCGAGCCAGCTCGAAGATCGAAATTCAAAATTTTCAAAAGTTGAATTTCGAGCTGGAGTTGAATTTCGAGCCGGCTCGAAGATCGAAATTCAAAATTTGCAAAAGTTGAATTTCGAGCTGGAGTTGAATTTCGAGCCGGCTCGAAGATCGAAATTCAAAATTTGCAAAAGTTGAATTTCGAGCTGGAGTTGAATTTCGAGCCAGCTCGAAGATCGAAATTCAAAATTTTCAAAAGTTGAATTTCGAGCTGGAGTTGAATTTCGAGCCAGCTCGAAGATCGAAATTCAAAATTTTCAAAAGTTGAATTTCGAGCTGGAGTTGAATTTCGAGCCAGCTCGAAGATCGAAATTCAAAATTTTCAAAACCCGAATTTCGAGCTGGAGTTGAATTTTGAGCCAGCTTTAATCTGGCAATTCGTGTCTTTTGAGCAAGCCTTGACCCGTAAATTATCTTTTATTTTGTCTTTCATTTCTAAAGTTTCGACAATTTTGACAGTTAATATGGTTCTATAACGGATACTTGCATACATTATCCGCTAGGCTTGAATTACTTATAAACAAACGTTTATTTCCTGCAATTTAACATATCAACAATCTTAATTTTTACCAAAAAATAAATAAATTAAAAAAAAATACATGACTTTTTCATAGACTGACAAAAGTCATTAGACTTCTTTTTTTCTTATGAACTAATAGTCGCCCAGTCAGCTCGATAGGTACAGCTTTTGATTTTAAATCCGGCGACCCGGGTTCCATTCCCGGGCGGCGCCATCTCGTTTTGATTCGTATAGATATTTTCTATCAAATTTCATTCCGCTTGTAAAGCAGTTTTTTGTTGTTGTTTTTTAAAACGAACCGCATGCCCTGAGCAGTTTAATTTTGAACTAGAAGCTTATGTTAAGTCTTGCCTAGCTAAATCAATAGTTTAAGTATGTCACAGCCAAAACTTAGAAGGAACATGATAATCAACATCAAAGTCATCAATTACTAAACCCGACAAAATGTCGTATTATTAAATCTTCTAGTTTTGTACACTATACATGTACTACAATGTACATGTACAAAGACAAAATACATAAGTACACACGACATAGCAACACAATATAATAATACCTTGAGAAGATAAGATCTACCATTTTTAGAATCATATATCTGTTTATGGGAATACTCTCCCTAGAATGTAGAATCATATAACATTTCCCTTTTATTCAGCAGTTCTCTTTACATAAAGACCACATTACAGACAAATCGGAAGAAACACAGAGCTAATAAGCTGATATTGTCAGTCCTTTTACCATTGCTATACCATTCATGAATTTGGTGTTTTCTAGGCTGGTACTACATGAGTACATTTGAGCCGCGTCATGTCAAAACCAACATAATGGGTTTGCGACCAGCATGGATCAAGACCAGCCTGCTCATCCGCGCAGTCTGATCAGGACCCATGCTGTTCGCTATCAGTTTTTCTACTTGTTATAAAGATTGTTAGCGAACAGCATGGATCCTGATCAGACAGCGCGGATGCGCAGGCTGGTCTGGATCCATGCTGGTCGCAAACCCATTATGTTGGTTTTGTCGTGACACGGCTCTTTTATTATACATGACGCAAATTAAATAAACTCAGTCTTTGGCCAGCCCTACGTCTCTCCATCCCTTAAAGGCCTATTAGGCCTTAGAAATGCTATCGTTTTTATTTCTAAAAAAACTTTCTGTTTTTGTTATCGTTACACTTACATATGAAAATCTCATTTGCCACAAACATTAACTTTCTTTTGCTCTTTGTCTGTGTTGAAAGGGGTATAATCATAGTAAATGAGCATTTTGTATGGAAGTCAAAAATACAACTTTGTTTATATTTTGGCTACCTTTACGAAACATTACTGCACATACAGCGCAAATTTCATAAGTTGTTAAACATTTTATATACTCTAAATCTATTATTAAAACAGTATTAAACACATATTTGTCATTTCTAAAGAATTAAATATTTTAATGATACGATAAGATTCGTGCAAATTTCGTATAGCGCAGCACCACTCTGCATCAAGCAGGAAGGGAAGCTTAATCTTATGTTGTTATAACTTGTCTCCAACCCATTTGCATTTTGATATATACTCATTATTTGTATAATATTTTTGTAAACATGTATTTAATGCAATAAAACTTGTTTAAACTAAAGCACGAATTTGACAAGTTCAACTGCCAATGACACGAGATAAACGACTGCTTCGATCATTGATGCAAACGGTTTTACTTCCCTCTTTAATAAATTATACATTTTGTATCTTTCGGTGCTATTTTCACTCATCAACAAAATATGTGTGTTTCAAAAAATAAAAAATAAACTGAAAAAAAAACCTGAAAAACTACCATGCACATTTTTAAAGCATTTTACGTCGGAATAGAAAAGTGGCCTAAATTTTTACCTAAATATGTATATGTTCATGGAAATTTAAGTCATTTCATCTATAACTATTTTCTTACAATAGCGTATTAACTTACAACTAAAAAAACAACGGCGAAATGACGTCATCCTAAGCACATATTTGGCGTCCGCTTGGCGTCCGCGCTGAAGCGCGGCGCCTATTGGAATGAAATGAGATTTTGTGAAAGGGCGACAGCAACTTCTCGAGCCTTTTATAGTTGCCAATAATAAAAGCCGATCATTCCGATCGGTATGAGGGTGCTTGATTGTTAATTAGTCGCGATATGTACAATGAATGGCGAACTGGAGAATTTCGCAATGCAAACATTTTCAAATGAGATAACCTTTTCCGTCAATAAATCGCGCTCTTCGGGGTATTT